TAACAACAGTGCCCTTAGTGGGAGCAACCTGTCCGCTGAGTTGTGTGGGTTTGCCAGTTCCTTTCCTCTTTCTCTGAGAACCACGACTGCCCCTCTCAGGAGACAGGGGCCAGTGCAGTTACTCCTCTTTTCCACCCTCTCTGCCTGTGGTAAAAATCACCCCCTCCTCATTCTTACTCCCACTGCCCTTACTCACTCGGGAATTATTTTCACACCTGTTAACCATGTTTTTATGCAAATAATGCACACGTTGTGCTGTTTTTGCAAACTGTGTGCCCATCATGTGGTCCTTTTCCTGTGCTCAGTGCATGTTGTGTGCATGTACATGCTGTTTACATGGTGTGTTATACACAGAAACTACAGTGGAGTCCTGGCACAGTGCTTGGCTCTGGGGCAACAAGTATCTGGTCTTCTGCTGGTAAGGTGTCAGGGATGTAGCGATGTGATATGCCCCAACTGAGTATGTTTAACCTTAGAAATCCTCCTCACACCATCATGCAGTAACTGCCACCCACTACTTTCAGCTACACCTTAGGTTGCATGATTTGAAATGGTGCTTACGATGCTCCTCAGTTGTCCCTTTTCTGGGTTACACAGCACTCATCTGCTCAGTCATTTCATACTGGCCGTAGGTGGAAGAGTTCTGGTAGCCAGCCTCTGGGTGCTCTTGTCTGACCGTGAACAGGGCAGAGCGTGGCAGGGGGCTGCCTGGCCAGCACAGAGGCCGGGGGACTCTGCGTACCTGTCACTCCCCATGCACCGGTTATCTCCTGAGGTTTGTTGTAGCTTACCACGGCTGCGCCACCAGTCAGCAGTCACGTCACATTCAGACTTAACTTACATTCTGCTGAAATCCTAACATTTACCCTATAATTGAACATAAATGCACAAATGCACAAGGATTGGGGTTAAATGTTATTTTGCTGTTTTTCTAGTTTTTCCAAATCTTGTTGATTTTTCATCCTAAGATTTGTTCCTCTTGGTTTTATTCTGCCTAAGATAGTACAGAAGGCTGGCGGTTCAAACCCACCAGCCACTCCTCAGAAGGAAGGTTAGGCAATCTACTTCCATAGTGATACCACCTCGGGAACCCAAGGAGGTATCTCCATGACTCAGATATGACTCAACAGCAATGGGTTTGATTGGTTTTTTTGGTAAAATAGTACAGTAGTACTGTATACACAGAATGTTTTATTTTGTTATGTTGGACATTGTATTTTGGTGTGACTAATGTAAATAGAATCCATCCAGTTTTATACGAAACACTTCATAAAGCCAGAACGCCTAATAAGGCCGGTTATGAGTTTTCCTAATTAGTTTGCAGAATAAGAAAATCGAGACTAGACAAGCATAGCTTGTAAAGGTGAGAGGAGAGAAAGCACGCACCCCTCAGAGGCTAGGATTGCTTGCTGACACTTGTTTTTGGCCTAATCTAGAAAGATCTTGAGGAACACTTAGGTTATAGCATTGTCTCTCTACTTTCTTAAAATTAACCAATTGTTTTTAAATAATTTAAAAGGTAGAGGATGATATTTTCCAGCACTTCTGTGAAGAAATTGGTGTAAAAAATATCCGTGAATTTGAAAATGAACAAGTTAAACGGCAACAGGAAATTGATCAAAAAAGGTACTTACACTAAGAGATGTTGGTGAACAGTTTACAAATATAAAGGTAACTGTTATGGCATAATTTAGAGAAATTATACTTTGGGTAGTCTTTAGTTCATAATAAATTGCTAGGAAACATTCTTACAAAGAGACACAACTTTTTAAATTTCATAATATTTTAAAGAGAATGCCCAGCCAAGTAAACACAGTAAGACAAGAACAGAGATATAATCATGCTTACAGTTGCTAAAAGAAGAAGGGGTGCTACTTTGCTTATTCTCTGTAAATATCCATAGAGAGGAATAAAATGGATGATTGTCAAAAAATTATGCATTACCAGTAATTACTCAAAGCTGATAGAAAATCGAAAGATGCCAGTTACCATAGGGAAAAAGATTTAAGAAGCTTCCCATCCACCCCAAATGCACCTGACACATGGTTTCACAGGTCATCCCGACGAACTTTAGGGGAGCAGGTCACTTCGATATTCAGTATTTACATAGATGTTCATTAGGCGAAAGGAGCCCAGGTGGTGCAGTGCTTAAGCGCTCAGCTGCTAACCAAAAA